TTGTTAAAATTCTTCAACTTTATATGGGTCTGAAAAGCCTTAACCACGTGTACGATATTGAAAATGTCACATCCTTTTATGAAGTTTATAATGAAAACACGTTCCCTTTCTATAGGTCTCCTTTACCTTTTTCTTCCTAAAAATTAATCATTCTCAACTCTTAATGTTTCTCTTGTGTAAGATTAAATTTTCAATTAACCTGCCCTACTTTTTTTTCCCCAGAGTGAAGATTGCTGGAAGGATTAGGGGATGTGTTTGAGTATTGAGAGTGGTTAGACTAAGGGGCTAAATATTTTCTGTCTTTCATGATAGATAATTCCTAAGTAAAATTTAAAATTATATCTAAAAATTATTACTTAGATAATTATCGATATTACTAATTATTTCGCTGCTGTGACATTTGGCCCTCATTCTGCCCTTTCCTAGCGCCCATGACCCTTCAACATTTTATCACAATGCTGGTTGAAATATATTCAATGACTTTAGTGCCTTGTAAATATTGAGATATGTTAATGATTACATCTACTTATATAATCATTTTCTGAAATTATCTTTTCATTTGCTTCCTATTGATCAAATGTACCTTATCTTTTTCCTATTCTTCAGTCTTTCAGTTTTCTACATATAGTCAACCCTTTCATATCTATAATTTTTTCTTATTTAAGTAAAACCTAGAGATCTCTCTCTCTCAGACTCTTGGTTACTCTGCTTTGATTTGCACTGTTGCTCTTTCGATTCCGTTTAGTTGGAATCCCTTTCTTTTTTTTTTTTTTTATTCAGTTGGAATCCCTTTCATCGTAATTCTAGGAATTGCCTTTTCTCCTTGGTTGGATCCCTGTTTGCTGGATTTTGTGTCTTGATATGAGCTTACTTTGAAGTTAGACATTCTTCAGTAGTTTTGTGTGTTTTTTAAAGTCATTTTATTGGGGGCTCACACAACTCATCACAATCCATACATACATCAATTGTATAAAGCACATTTGTACATTTGTTACCCTCATTATTCTTTTTTTTTT